AAGGCCTGGTACTAATTCTGCTTTATTTGGTAAAAATACCCCAGGTTTAGCCACACATAGCCTCCATAATATAATGCCAAAAGTACCGCGAATACAGCTCAAGTCATCTCAAGCCCAACTACATTGCTGTGACCAAGAACGAAAGTCATATGTAAAAAGAACGATAAGATAGAGAGGTTTTTATGGGTGTACTATGTCAATCCATGTTCAATATTGAGATTAGAAATCTACAAAAAATTGAGCGTCAATATTACTTGTATAAACACACGGACTTCTCCTGACAGTTTCCAGAAATGGATTTTAGTTTTGGACACGTCAATCCAAATGTCCAGTAGATAGCTTTTCTTGAAATTGCACGTACTACTTGGTGATATATACTAAGGTGGCTATTGCCTGTCAAACATTGTCTATTTTAAAGATACAAATCAAAATAACTCTACTGGGATTAATCCGATCCCTACCAAACATTTCATACCTGTAGATAAATGCACGGTAATGTAACAGACTAAACCGTATCTCTAACGCACTTAAGGTAGCTCTCTCACGGCACATTCTTTTGAAGAACCGCGCTACAACTTTTTTCCAAAAATCGACTGTTCCGGAAGATGCAGCTTTTGATCGAGAAAAAAGTCACAAAACTTGGGCAAAATTTTAGTTTTCGACACGTCAATCTACAAGGCCACTATATAGTTTTTATAAAAGAGAGCAACGTTTTGAGAGTATAAACACACGGACTTCTCCTGACAGTTTCCAGAAATGGATTTTAGTTTTGGACACGTCAATCCAAATGTCCAGTAGATAGCTTTTCTTGAAATTGCACGTACTACTTGGTGATAGTATACTAAGGTGGCTATTGCCTGTCAAACATTGTCTATTTTAAAGATACAAATCAAAATTCAATAATTCTGCTGGGTTATTCTGGCTCAGGAAATGATGTCATCGAAAATTTTGGGCACGCCCCCTTTTGGATAGCATAGTTATCTGCCTAATCGAAAGTCGCGTGGCGACGAAAATGCTACGGTTGGATTTAAATTTTGACCCACAAAATGATTTCATAGAACATATTTGGCTCACCCACTTTTTGGCCCTGAAGCCTAACCTGGATATCTCAGGTAGGAAAAGTCGTCAGGGCACGATAATACCACCGTTGGATTTAGCGTATAATTCTGTCTCAGCAAATGACGTCATCGAAAATTTTGGCGACACCCCCTTATCTCCAGCGTCATTATCTCCGTAACTGGAAGTCGTTTGGCGACAGAAATGCCACCGTTGGATTTACCGTGAAATTCGGACTCAGCAAATGACGTCATCGAAAATTTAGGCCACACCCCCTTTTGGATTGCCTCGTTATCTCCGTACCTGGACGTCGTGTGGCGACGAAAATACTACGGTTGCATTCTCCGTTCAATGCTAACCCAGAAAATGATGTCATCAAACATTTTCCGCCACACGCACTTTTTGCCCGAAACCCTAACATGGATATCTCTAGAGCGAAAAGCCGCCAGGGCAATAAAATACCACCGTTGGACTTAGCGTAAAATTCTGACTCAGAAAATGACGTCATCGAAAATTTTGGCGACGCCCCCTTTTGGATAGCCTCGTTATCCCCGTAACCGGAAGTCGCGTGGCGACGAAAATGCCACGGATGGACCCACAAAATGATTTGACCCACAGAATGATGTCATCAAATATTCCTGGCCACACTTACTTTTGGCCCCGAACCCTAACCAAGCAAATGACGTCATCGAAAATTTAGGCCACACCCCCTTTTGGATTGCCTCGTTATCTCCGTACCTGGACGTCGTGTGGCGACGAAAATACTACGGTTGCATTCTCCGTTCAATGCTAACCCAGAAAATGATGTCATCAAACATTTTCCGCCACACGCACTTTTTGCCCGAAACCCTAACATGGATATCTCTAGAGCGAAAAGCCGCCAGGGCAATAAAATACCACCGTTGGACTTAGCGTAAAATTCTGACTCAGAAAATGACGTCATCGAAAATTTTGGCGACGCCCCCTTTTGGATAGCCTCGTTATCCCCGTAACCGGAAGTCGCGTGGCGACGAAAATGCCACGGATGGACCCACAAAATGATTTGACCCACAGAATGATGTCATCAAATATTCCTGGCCACACTTACTTTTGGCCCCGAACCCTAACCACGATATCTCTGGAACGAGAAGTCGTCAGGGCAAAAAAATACCACCGTTGGATTTAGCGTAAAATTCTGACTCAGCAAATAACGTCATCGAAAATTTTGACCACGCCCCCTTTTTTGATTCTTCGTCAAATTATGTCCCACAAAATGATGTCATCGAACATTATTGGCCACACCCATTTTCTGGCCCGGAACCCTAAGTGAGGAACCTTGTACACAGAGTGAGGAACATTGTCCTCAGAGTGAGGAACCCTGTTTTCAGAGTGAGGCACCTTGTCTTCAGAGTGAGGAACCGTGTCTTCAGAGTGAGGAACCATGCCCTCGGAGTGAAGAACCGTGTCCTCAGAGTGAGGAACCTTGTCCTCAGAGTGAGCAACCTTGTCCTGAAAGTGAGGAACCTTGTCCTCAGAGTGAGGAACCTTGTCCTCAGAGTGAAAAACCCTGTCATCAGAGTGAGGAACCTTGTCCTCAGAGTGAGAAACCCTGTCTTCAGAGTGAGGAACCGTGCCCTCGGAGTGAAGAAGCGTGTCCTCAGGGTGAGGAACCTTGTCCTCAGTCAGTGGCGACGAAAACGCCACGATTTGATTCTTCGTCAAATTATGTCCCACAAAATGATGTCATCGAACATTATTGGCCACACCCATTTTCTGGCCCGGAACCCTAAGTGAGGAACCTTGTTAAGTGAGGAACCTTGTACACAGAGTGAGGAACATTGTCCTCAGAGTGAGGAACCCTGTTTTCAGAGTGAGGCACCTTGTCCTGAGAGTGAGGAACCCTGTTTTCAGAGTGAGGAACCTTGTCTTCAGAGTGAGGAACCGTGTCTTCAGAGTGAGGAACCGTGTCTTCAGAGTGAGGAACCATGCCCTCGGAGTGAAGAACCGTGTCCTCAGAGTGAGGAACCTTGTCCTCAGAGTGAGCAACCTTGTCCTGAAAGTGAGGAACCTTGTCCTCAGAGTGAGGAACCTTGTCCTCAGAGTGAAAAACCCTGTCATCAGAGTGAGGAACCTTGTCCTCAGAGTGAGAAACCCTGTCTTCAGAGTGAGGAACCGTGCCCTCGGAGTGAAGAAGCGTGTCCTCAGAGTGAGGAACCTTGTCCTCAGAGTGAAGAACCTTGTCCTCAAAGTGAGGAACCTTGTCCTCAGAAAGTGAGGAACCTTGTCCTCAGAGTGAGGAACCTTGTCCTCAGAGTGAGGAAACTTGTCCACAGAGTGAGGAACCTTGTCCTCAGAGAGAGGAACCTTGTCATCAGAGCGAGGAACCTTGTCATTAGAGCGAGGAACCTTGTACGCAGAGTGAGGAACCATGTCTCAGAATGAGGAACCTTGTCCTCAGAGTGAGGAACCTTGTCCTCAGAGTGAGGAACCTTGTCCTCAGAGTGAGGAACCTTGTCCTCAGAGTGAGGAACCTTGTCCTCAGAGTGAGGAACCTTGTCCTCAGAGTGAGGAACCTTGTCCTCAGAGTGAGGAACCTTGTCCTCAGAGTGAGGAACCTTGTCCTCAGAGAGAGGAACCTTGTCATCAGAGCGAGGAACCTTGTCATCAGAGGGAGGAACCTTGTACGCAGAGTGAGGAACCATGTCCTCAGAATGAGGAACCTTGTCCTCAAAGTGAAGAACCTTGTTCTCAGAGTGAGGAACCTCGTCCTCAGAGTGAGGAACCTCGTCCTCAGAGTGAGGAACCTCGTCTTCAGAGTGAGGAGCGTCCTCAGAGTGAGGAACCTCGTCCCCAGAGTGAGGAACCTTATCCGCAGAGTGAGGAACCTTGTCCGCAGAGTGAGGAACCTTGTCCGCAGAGTGAGGAACTTTGTCCTCAGAGAGAGCAACCTTGTCCTGTGAGTGAGGAAACTTGTCCTCAGAGTGAGGAATCTTGTCCTCAGAGTGAGAAACCTTGTCCTCAGAGTGAGGAACCTTGTCCTCAGAGGAACCTTGTCCTCAGAGTGAGGAACCCTGTCCTCAGAGTGAAGAAACTTGTCCTCAGAGTGAGGAACCTTGTCCTCAGAGTGAGGAACCTTGTCCTCAGAGTGAGAAACCTTGTCCTCAGAGTGAGGAACCCTGTCCTCAGAGTGAAGAAACTTGTTGTCAGAATGAGGAACCTTGTCCTCAGAGTGAGGAACCTTGTCCTCAGAGTGAGGAACCTGGTCCTCAGAGTAAGCAACCTTGTCATCAGAGGGAGTAACCTTCTCCTCAGCGTGAGGAACCTTGTCCTCAGCGTGAGGAACCTTGTCCTCAGCGTGAGGAACCTTGTCCTCAGCGTGAGGAACCTTGTCCTCAAAGTGAGGAACCTTGTCCTCAGAGAGAGGAACCTTGTCCTCAAAGTAAGCAAACTTGTCCTAAGCGTGAGGAACCTTGTCTTAAGCGTGAGGAACCTTGTCCTCAGCGTGAGGAACCTTGTCCTCAGCTTCAGCAACCTTGTCCGCAAAGTAAGGAACCTTGTCCTCAGCGTGAGGAACCTTGTCCTCAGAGTGAGGAACCTTGTCCTCAGCGTGAGGAACCTTGTCCTCAGCGTGAGGAACCTTGTCCTCAGGTGAGGAACCTTGTCCTCAGCGTGAGGAACCTTGTCCTCAGCGTGAGGAACCTTGTCCTCAGAGTGAGGAACCTTGTCCTCAGAGTGAGGAACCTTGTCCTCAGCGTGAGGAACCTGGTCCTCAGCGTGAGGAACCTTGTCCTCAGAGTGAGGAACCTTGTCCACAGTGAGGTTGTCCCAGCGTGAGGAACCTTGTCCTCAAAGTGAGGAACCCTGTCCTCAGAGTGAGGAACCTTGTCCTCAGAGTAAGCAACCTTGTCCTAAGCGTGAGGAACC